TCTTCTTGGGTTACCCCCAAAAGTTGCTACAAATGCCTCGCATCTGCCGCTCTATCCTTTTCTTCAATGTGAATGTTTGATCCAGATCACTTACTCAAGTCAGACAGGTCTGCCCGAAAAATACAAGCAGGAAAAAAATGAAATGAAAACGAAAGAAAAGAACAATCCATAGTTGCTGGAATGTCAAGAACAGAAAACGACATCGAGATTAAAATGGATGTCAAATCAATATCATTGTCGCCTGAAAAGGCGCCTAGGCCATCCTGTCCCCCCCACAAACACACGGTAACCCACGTTAGACTTAATTTGATTCAGGCTGACTTAAACTTAATGTTGTCATTTTAAATTAATCCGTGCTTCGTTGGCCATAAGTTTAATATCGGAATTCGGAGTTACAAAAATGGCATAGTCAAGTATTGAGTTTGAAAAGGGAGCTCCCTTTTTTATTTACTACTATTTTAGGAGTATCTCAATACTTCCAAAATGTACCTGTTATTTCAAACAGGTTTGTATGGGTAGTTCAATAACGCCTCCTGGGGGGATGAGGGCATAAGACCAGACCCCTCCCCCCAAAAAAAGTGAATTCGGCAAACACGACTGACATACAGGAAAATGTCAAATTGATCATAATCTCACAAAACATTCAATTTTACTATTTAGTTCCTGAATGTCACACACAATTACAAGACGGTACACGTATTTAACGTGTAACCCGAAACTTGAGGGCGCTATTTCAAATTAATGTGGGAGAAGCACAGTCGTAACAGGACGCATTTCACCAAATGGTTGGAATTCTGCGCGCAAGCTCATTAGTAGTTTGTGGTCCCTCGGGTTTTTTACAATAAGACATGCCATAATCAGGAGGGATCATAGAAATATTTCTATAAATCCCGAATTTTGGACTGGTAGTTTCCAGGTCCGGATACTTCTTGTACAAAAAAAATCAAAATTGCGGGCCCATTTTGGATAGAGGCGGGCGGCTACCTTTAGAGTTGAGCGCATAGTCTTACCACTATTTTAGGAGTATCTCAATTGGGGAATGGCGAATAAAAACTATTTTGCGGCTAACCCCCATCACGTTGAAACGAAAAGTGATCTTCTGGCCACAATCTTGAATTTCCAGTGACAAAAATGGAAATAAAATTCATTTATATATTAATCAGCTTAAAAGGTTGAGCTCACACCCTGACTTGACTTGATTTCCGGTAATTCACTACTGCGTACACCTCAACCATTATTCTTTCCAAATGTATCAATTACAGGTGCTGAATTCAGTTTTCCTTCAAAATCTGACGATTGGATTGAGCACGAAAACCTCAACCGGTTTTTGAAAAATTCCATTTTGAAAGTGGATGCAAAGAAATTCGCAACGCTCGTCATTTACCCTCCTGAAAATACGCATACGCAGGACGCGTTTTGGACGCAATGTCGAATAAAGTTTTTATACACGTGCAGATGTGCATCATCAGCTTTGGACCATGGATCAAATCATCTTTCGGCTCAAGCGTTGGTAAAATTTTTATTCTTCTGAACAATAGTGGAGGGAAGGACATGGTTTAATCGGACAAACAACTTAAAAGCGGAGATTCTTTGGTTCACGTCCTCGTCCATTTGAATCAAAGAATCTCCAATTACCGTTTACCCTTAACTGAAATGTTAAAATAATCTTGGTGTTCACAAATTTAAATTTAGATCCTAACCTGTGACAGACAAAACTCAAATAAATGTTTACCTTTTTTAACAGTTTGTTTTAAACAAGGGAATTTGTGCCATATTTTCAAAAAGTGAAAGATATCTTGTCGAAGCCGGTTTTTAGGAAATAAAACTATTCCAAAGATCGTTTGTCCAGGACATATATTTTTCAGTTCATTCTTAATTAATCTTATGAGATCTGTATTTAGGAACATTATTTCTATTTCTGGAAATAAATCATTTCTAGGAGATAGGTTTTCCAGGTTCGTTCTTGGGAAAATGATTTTTGAGGCACGTTTTCCTGAGTTTTTTAGTTTGTTTTTCGAGAAATTAATTCAAACTTGTGTAAGGGCGTGTCAAAGTTGTTCCCTTTAATTTGTATAATTGCAAGAGAGAGGGTGTACCTTTAATGCACACACTGGTTAACTGTAACCATGGTGACCGAGTGTCTATATATATCTAACTTTTGAGGGGGGACTCGTATACTCTTTTTAATTACAAGATTACGTTTAAGTACTTGCAGTGTAAACACAGAGCTGACATGTTATATTTGTACCATGGTAAAAACACTTTTATGGGCCTTGGGGTTATCTTATAAAATGCGCGTGTACTGTGAATAGTTGCGCACGCACTCACTCTCCGTCTCTTTCCACGTTTCTCCGAGACAACTTTACCGAGAGTTTGCTCCGAAATTGCCCTAGATTTTCAGGGGTTTGGACCTTCGAAATTGTTATCTGGAGGCAGTGGCTCATTTGCATTTTATTCAGATTTAGCCTGGTGAAGGTTGCATGTACATGTACTGGTTCGTAGCTCGCCGCTGCATGCACCCGGTGTGGGCCGTCTAGCTGAACAGCTATAGTTGGAGAGACGGGGCGGCGTGCAGTGAACTTATTTATCCGGTCGGGGGGGGGTAAGAATTGGACCTGGTTTTAATTGGGATCTTAACAGAACTTAAAACTTGGACTGGAGCTTTACACCTTTGTAATTATTGTCGTCATTTATTTTGGGGTCTTTCAACTGTCTGAATATTAACCCAGGTACACACCCAACATCAGCTTGATAGCACACACTCAAGCTGCCCCCGAGGGACGCGCCTCTAGGCGTGCCTCCACACTCGAAAATATTTATCTTTTGAATATTAACTTTATAAAAAGTAATGCATTTTATAATAGCAAAAACCATTACGAAATATAACCAATACAAATGATCTGCTTCCAAAAAAGACACAATGTTTCTAACAAGAGGTCTCTAAGAACGAATTGGAAAACAAATAAATCATACAAACAAACTTTCGAACAAAGTTCGAATTTTGAAAAATACGTTGAGAAAAACACTGAACAAAAACAAACTTCACATCGTTCAACCTTCGCAAAAATGAGCCTGAAAAGAGTAGACGTTACTGTTTGAAAATATATACTTGGTGGCACTACAGGGTTTTTGTACCTCTGTTTAAAATTTTATTTCAAAAAGTTCTTTGTCTTTAGGCTGTCAGTAGCTAGAGACAAAAACCTTCCAATATGAATGCTACGGAAGATGTAAATCCAAACNGAAAACACTTTTATGGGCCTTGGGGTTATCTTATAAAATGCGCGTGTACTGTGAATAGTTGCGCGCGTACTCACTCTCCCCTTCTTTCCTCGTTTCTCCGAGACAACTTTACCGAGAGTTTGCTCCGAAATTGCCCTAGATTTTCAGGGGTTTGGACCTTCGAAATTGTTATCTGGAGGCGGTGGCTCATTTGCATTTTATTCAGATTTAGCCTGGTGAAGGTTGCATACCCCCCGCCGCTGCATGCACGCGGTGTGGGCCGTCTAGCTGAACAGCAATAGTTGGAGAGACGGAGCAGCGTGCAGTGAACTTATTTATCCGGTCAGGGGGGGGGTTAAGAATTGGATTTGACTTGGATTCATTTGATTTGATTTGGACCTGGTTTTGAGCCTTATTTCAACGGATTTGAAGCGAATTTGGCTGGAGTTTGCAAAGATTTGCACCTGGATTTAATTGGGATCTTAAAAGAACTTAAACAGGAATAAAACTTGGACTTGAGCTGCACATCTTTGTAATTATTGTCGTCATTTATTTTGGGGTCTTTCAACTGTCTGAATATTAACCCGGGTACACACCCAACATCAGCTTGATAGCACACACTCAAGCTACCCCCGAGGGACGCGCCACTAGGCGTGCCTCCACACTTGAAAATATTTATCTTTTGAATATTAACTTTATAAAAAGTAATGCATTTTATAGTAGCAAAAATCATTACGAAATATAACCAAAACAAATGATCTGCTTCCAAAAAGACACAATGTTTCTAAAAAGATGTCTCTAAGAACGAACTGGAAAACAAATATATCATACAAACAAACTTTGGAACAAAATTTAAATTTTGAAAAAAATTAAACAAAAAAAAAGAAAAAGATTAGAAATTAGAAAAAAAAAAAACTTAACATCGTTCAACCTTCGCAAAAATGAGCCTGAAAAGAGTAGACATTACTGTTTGAAAATATATACTTGGTGGCATTACAGGGTTTTTGTACCTCTGTTTAAATTTGTATATCAAAAAGTTCTTTGTCTTTGGGCTGTCAGTAGCTAAAGACAAAAACCTTCCAATATGAATGCTACGTAAGATGTTAATCCAAGT